CCGTGTTATCTTGAAATTGTTTTATTCCGTTAACAAAAAAAGCATCATAAAACGTGAGAACAAAAGAAGCATAGGCCTAACGATTACGGGTCTGATTAGGCATGCTCTTTCGGTTTCTTTTCCTCTGCTTCTTCTCCTCTACCTCCTTCTCCTTATCATCCTCCTCCTTATCATCATCATCATCATCATCATCATCATCATCATCATCATCATCATCATCGTCATCATCATCGTCATCATCATCATCATCATCATCATCATCATCGTCATCATCATCATCTTCTTCTTCTTCTTCTTCTTCTTATTATTATTATTCCTCTTCCTCTTTTTTCTTTTCTCCTTCATTCCATTCGTTACCATTTTCTTCACCTTTATCTTCTTTTCCTCTTTTTCTCCGTCGACATCTTCCTAGTCTTGGTATATGTCGCATTACATTGCCAAATAGAAATAAATTAATCAAACGCAGTAAACTGACTCGCTCCAAGGACTGACATTGAACACACTCAAAATAATACGAAACGCGTTAATGATTAAAATATAAAACTGCGCACATTTCGCCCAACCACTAAACCACTGAATGAGATACTATTGTAGTGATAAATACAGACACGCATATTGTCAATGCACAAATGGTCATATGCCCCCCCCCCCTACAACATGCTCACTATACATCAATTTATAATAGGTGCTTTAGCCTCAAAATTGACATACAAAAAGGGCACGTATAGGTGCGGCACATCTGTTATTACCTCCGCCAAGGGGTTGGCAAGAGGTTATGTTTTCACCGGCGTGTGTTTGTTGGTTTGTGGGTTTGTGGGTTTGTGTGTTTGTGTACAGCCTAACTGAAAAAGTTATGGACGGATTGTCGTAAAATTTTTAGGATAGGTTAGAAATCGCCTAACTTAGAATTGATGAGATTTTGGTGGTGATCCGGATCCAATTGTTTAATTAATTAATTAATTAATTAAAGTTTTAGGATAGGTCAGAAATGGGGTAAGTTAGAATTGATTACATTTTGGTGGTGATCCGGATTCAATTAATTAATTAATTAAATTTTTAGGATAGGTCAGAAATGGGGTAACTTAGAATT